TTTTACAGAATTTCTTAAATTAAAATTTTGTTGTCATGTTTATACTAATTAAAATAATCTTAACTATGACATGCTGGTCAATCAAATACGATACATATATTACATGACTAAGGCATGCCTAATGACCAAGTAGCATGCCCATAGGCATGCCCACAAGGCATGTCTCTGTGCCTCGAACCCTAGTCATATCTAATAAAAAAAATCCTCTGTATGAGAAACCCAATTCATTAAAACCTTTATTGGGCAGAATTCGAATTAGATAGTTGCTTTTTTTTTTTTAATGTGCTAAAGAGCTTTTCTACTAAATCGGCACTACAACCCAGATTTGTATCTGAATTCATGTAAATCTCCAAATATTGTCATATTTTTTATGAAAGCTGAGATATTGCCAGAATATTGATACAGTGTGAACCCTGAAGCAGGCACGTGCCCTTGTGATTCCGGATATTTCCAAATTTAGGCTCCCCGCCATGATCAGCCTGATTTCTCTGATTTCTTTGATAATTCTGATAATACTGATCCAGGTTATTAGTAGGATCTGGACTTTTTCGATAATACTAATGATAGTGGTTATAAAACCGATTATAATAATAATAAGGATCTAAAGGATCCTTCAAATGTAAATAGCTGAATAAATCATTATAAATAAAGGCCTTTTGGCCCTGGGAAGAAAATAACTCCCAACTTTGCTTTATTAAATCATTGAATCATACAAAAATACTTTTCATACAATTGCTCTTCATAAATCATACAACTACCTCCCACATATCTTACGTATTTTTATAATAAATCATACCAGTCGTTTTTAATAAATTATAAAGCTTATTTACCAAACCTAATGTTGATAAAACACTGTCATTACGCCCAATACTAAACCTATATAAGATCTAAGTTCTGACCCAAAATTATACCACTCGACTAAATCTAACACGCCTCTTTCAAACTTACATAACCTGAATTTTGGTTACACAAACCTCTTACCGGTTTAGCGACAGACTCGCCGGTTTGGGTCTGACAACAGTATAAATTACCTATTATTGATAAGGAAAATGGATATGTACTGGTAAAGTACTTATACACGTAGTAGTAATAGATAATATAAATTACAAGGGAGTGTTAGGGCGTCATAAATGTAAAGGAAATTATAACATCTTAGATTTATATATAAATATATATTTAATTATAACTTAACGGTAGTGAATGTCAGCCAAATTAATAGTCGAATACAAGGTTCCTAGACTTATTAAATAGCCTGGTTTAAATTTAAGATTTTTTCTTTTTTTTTTGACAGCGATAGCAATAATGATTAAATTATCAAAAAATAAATAAACCTGGATCAACACCTCTGGTAATGGAGTAAAATAAAAAAAAGTTCTAATTGCATCTGTATCAGTGTTAAAATATCTATTTTAAAAGAGTGAATTTAATTACGATATTAAAAATATCTAATTTAAAATAATGGATTTAAATTCTTTAACCCATTTTTTCCATTTCATTTGCGCATCTTTGTAAATATTCTTGTAATATGATGAACTTTATAAAGCATTGAGTTATCATCTTTATAATTGATTAAAATATATAATAATTTTATTTAGAAGGCATTTTTTTCTTGCATTTTTGATAAGAGTTTTATTATTTAACTAATATCATATGTTACATCATTCATAAATAAAGTCAGCCTGTACTAGTTTTATTCATTAATTTTTATTTTACACATCTTTAATAGATAAAGAAAACCCATTTCCTATGGAGCTCTCCTATTTCTGAAGACTATCTTAATTTTACTGCTTTCATTCCCACTTGTAATGATCCTATTATCAAAAATTTCAATCACATCTTTTCCTTCGGTCTTAATGCTTTTGATACATTTATAAATTTCATTACGTGTATCAACATTACTCCTGGTCATCAAGGAATCCTTGATTTCATAAAATTGTTGTTCCATGAGCTCCATCAAACCAATGAGTTCATTCTCAGAACAAATTACAAACCTATGTTTAGAATTCTTTAATTCACTAACAGCGTTAAAAGTATATCCAGCATTTGAAATGAAAAAACTGAAAACATCTGGCGGTTGATCTGCCATGGTTCCCATGAGTACCTAATATTGTCAACCCCATTCAAATATCTTTTAGAGCACCATCTTGTATGAATGATAAATCTAAACTCATTTGATCTTCCATACATCTTAACATTCTCTCCATTTACTGGATTAATAATGTTATGATTTTTTCTTTTCATAAAACACGACCTTTTGCTATTCTTGACAAGTTCAAATATGAAATCTTCGTACGAGTTCTCTTTAGCCATGTCGTCCATCTATAAAAATAAAAAATAAAAATAGAAAGTTTTTGAATATTCTATATCTCATCACATAACTGACTCGTTCTTGGTGTGTACACCAAAAATGTTTCCAAAATGGCTATTCAACCAGGTCTGGCTCCTGATCAGCGTAGCTTCGTCAAACATAACGCTCAACAAGGAATGCAGTAAGAATGCTCACCTCCGCAAACTTCAAATAATCAAAAATAGAATCTTTCGGATTGCCAAAAGAATGATCATAAAACATAGGGTTCACAGTGAACTTATCATCCTCAAGGGCGACGATATACTCAGAATAAATATTCTTATCGAGTTTCTCGACAGCCATCTATTAGAGGAAATAAAACAAGTCTAAGAACGGTGGTGTCATATAACCATATGATTTATATCAGTGTTAACATTACGCCGATTCGCCGAGGGTAGGCATAAAATTTTTTACACAAATATTACTGGGTTACAAACAGGATAAGCAAGGTACTACAGGGAGATTCCAAAATTCCGGGTCGAGAGCTTTGGAGGTCTGGTCGGAAGGGCCGGAGTTGATCGATTTTGCCCCAAAATCACTAAGAATTTTACTAATGAAACAATAGTCGTTCATTAAGTGAAAAGTGCCTAGCTGATAATTTTACTATAGCCTATAGCTCTCGCTAATCCTAACCTAGCCCTAACCCCGACGATGCATTCCGGTCATTATGACCCGGAAATTTGAGAATCCCCTGTAGAAAATAGTAAAGGTAAAAAGTAAGTAATAAATATTTTATTACAATTCACAAATACAACTTGAATGATATAATTTAAAATTTTTACTTATTATTACCAATAAAATTTGGTGGTAATATTTCTTAATGATAAGTACTGTAATAATACGTATTGACAATCACCCATCTCTATTTCTAATAACAAGAGTAACTTGGATAATCCAACATACTGTAGATGTTAGATTTTGTTAACAATTATTGTAAAATAGAATATGAGAATCCTTTTTTTTACAATGTTTTTGGTATTCAAAAATATTTATTATATTATCGTAATGAGATAGAACAAAGAAAGAATCATTATAATAGAATCTTGAATTAGTATCAAAAGATGATTTGGAAAGTAAACTGCATTGAATTAAGCTCGAAAACATAATTAGTCGCCAACTAACTAATTTGATTGGCCCAATAGTCACATTTAGATTAACCAATCAGATGAATATGCTCCATTGAGAAAATGAGATTTCTCACTGGAACCACAGGAACACTGGAAAATCTGGACGTCCAGTGGGGTTCCAGTCTTCCAGTGACAACACTGAAATTTATATGATCTTGGTAGCCTGACCATAATGATATTGACCAGAATTAATTTGCCTGTAAAATGAGTTTCGGCAGAAAACTTCTATATATTTTATTCAAAGCAATAAAAAAAACTTAATAATAACAAATTAAAATACTTTTGATTTATACTGTATACTAATTTCATTTATTTAATTTGTTCATGATGTGATTCATATCTTAATAGATAAGATAATTCTTAACACAGAACTCTTTTATTTGAAGACTATCCTAATCTTACCACCTTCATTCCCTTTCGTAATGATCCTGTTACCATCAATTTTGATCACACCTTTTCCTTCTGTTTCGATGCTTTTGATATAGTTATCAATTACATCACGTGTGTTAACAGTGAACATCCCGGTATTTATAATATCATAAAATTGTCGTTCCATATTTTCCATCAATTCGATGAGCTCGTTCTCAGAACAAATTATGAATCTATAACTGGTGTTTTTTAATATGTTGATAGCTTTAGTAGTATAACCAAAATTCAGGTTATGTAAGTTTGAAAGAGGCGTGTTAGATTTAGTCGAGTGGTATAATTTTGGGTCAGAACT